TTTTTAAAAGGATAGAAATTGCCAGTTGTGGTGGTACACACACCTGTCATCCCAGCACTCAGGAGGCTGAGGCAGAAGGATCGCCATGTGTTCAAGGGCAGCCTGAAGTACACAGTGAGACCCTGTCTCAAAAAGCCAAAAAAAAAAAAAAAAAAAGGAAGAAGAAATGGAGAAAAATGGACTGAGATTCTCTTTTTTCAGAGCTAGGGAAGGAGCTCAGGGCCTTGTATGTGCTAGGCAAGTGCTTGGCTCCTGAGCTGTACCTCATCCCATGTGACTTTTATATTAATTTATTTATGATTTTTGATAGTCTTCATTTGTGGGGGTTTTGCTTTTGAGGCAGGGTCTGGCTATGTAGCCCAGGCTGGTCTTGAACTCACAGTGATCCTCCTGCCTCAGCCTCTGGAGTGCTGGGATGACAGGTGTGTGCCACCATGCTTGGCCTAATGTTCAATTTTTTAAGGCACAGTTGTGCTACATATAGATTTTGGGCTCTCTCTCCCTCTCTCTCTTTCTTTACTTCACTCCTTCCTTTTTCCCTGTCCTCCTTTTTTGCAGCACTGGGGATTGAGCCCAGGGCCTGTAACAGTAGATAAGTGCTCTGCTACATTTGATTCTCCCACCTCAGCCTCTTGAGTAGCTGGGTCCTAGGTGTGTGCCACCATGTTGGAGACTGTTTGGCTTTCAGCACTTTGACTCTGTTACCCTACTGCCTTCCAGCCATCACCTTTTCTTTCTTTCTTTCTTTCTTTCTTTCTTTCTTTCTTTCTTTCTTTCTTTCTTTCTTTCTTTCTTTCTTTCTTTTTTTTGGTACCAGAGATCGAACTCGGGACCTTGCCCTTGAAGGCAGGCCCCGGAACTACTGAGCTAAATCCCCGGCCTGCCACCACCTTTTTTGATGAGAATTTAAATGTCAATTTGATTCTGATTCTCTTCTACATGGATGATTTTTCTATTTAAAATCATCTTTGACTTTATTTTTGAGACAGGGTCTCGCTATATAGCCTGGGCTGGCATCAAACTCACGGTAATCTTCCTGCCTCAGCCTCCTGAGTGCCAGGATGACAGGCGTGCGCCACCACACCCGGCTAATTTCTTTTCTTTTCTTTCTTTTTTTTTTTTCCCGGCTAATTTCGAATCATTTTTCCTTAGTGCATATTCTCCAGGTAGATGATGGCTTTCACTCGAGCAGACTGCACCCCACGGCCCGTCTCTCTTCTCTGTTGTATCCCTTCTACTGTCTGGACTCCACCTGAGAGAGAGTACATACAACTGGTTTCTCTTGTGTAACTCTTCCCTGAAGTGTGCAGTCACTGGCGATTCTGCTAAGATTATTTTCTAGTTTTAAAAAATGTGCAACCCGTGAAATGTTTAGCTTGGGCTGGGGCCGCTGGTCCACACTGGTACCAGCACTCTGGGAGGCTGGGGCAGGAGGATTGAAAATCTAAGCCCAGCCTGGGTAACCTAGTAAGACTCTGTCTCCAAAAACTTGTGGGTTTCTTTTTTCTTTTTTTTTTGAGACAGTCTCACTATGTAGTATAGACTGCCTTGAACTCACTGTGTATCCCAGGCTGGCCTTGAACTCGTGGCAATCTTCCTGCCTCAGCCTGCAATGTGCTGGTGTGACACCACACTCAGTTCAAAAAAATTGTTTTTAAAAAGAGCGAGGGATGTGGCTCACTGCAAAGGCCCTGGGTTCAAACCCCAGTATTGTCGAGCTGAGCTCTTGGGCTTGTGCTTCTGGCCATCTCGGACAAGTTGCTCCTAGGATAGTGCCAAACTCACCGAGCCCTTGGTGCCAGGGCAGAGGAGTTGCCAGAAGAGACGGGCACAGCCCAGGCCAGGTGCCACCCCCTTCTGCTGGCCCCTGTACCTTCCACTGCCTTACAGATCCAAAAGGCTTCTCTTAGCAAGTTTGTTTATTTGTTTGTTTGTTTGAGACAGGGTCTCACTATGTAGCCCAGGCTGGCCTGGAACTCATGGCGATCCTCCTACCAGCCTCCGAGCTGATGACAGGTGTGTGCCAGCACACCTGGCTGATTTCATCAATGTTGTCCGGCTTTCGAGTTGCTTTTTAAGGTAGACTGCCAGGATCGGAATTTGGCCATAGCAGGTGTCTTGTCCTTTCCATCTCATTTTTGTCCCGCCTTTTGTTGGATCTCTTGTAAATAGTTTAGAGCTGGCTGCTTCAAAATCCTGTCTTTATTTTGCTTGGTAATGGCTGGCTGTAGTTCTGACATGTTGTATTTTCTACATATTTAAGTGTTTCTGATTCTTTGTTTTCCCCTCTTGACTTTTTGGATTAGAGGAAATTTTCCTTCATTGTTTGATTTCTCCAGTGGTCTATTTATATCCCTGTAGTAGTCACTCTGGAAAATGTAAGTGCTCACTCATCCTAAACAAGCTTGAAATGAAGCAATATCAAGATGGCCATGAGAGTGCATGCCTCTCATCCCAGCACTGGGAAGGCTGAGGCAGGAGGATCTCTGAGAGTTCGAGGCCAGCCTGGACCACATAGCGATACCTTGTCTGAAAAAAAAGAAAAGCCCCCCCACCCCAGTGCAGTTCCTGTTTCTGGTTTCCAGTGCCCCAACCCCCCTACTAGGAATCGAACTCAGGACTTTGAGCTTGCCAGGCAGGCGAAGCACGGCTGAGCTACATCCCTGGCCATGGTGTAATATAATTTCACAGTGTGCTATCTTAGCAGAATTGAGATACAGCTCTCTGTTGTTTTGTTTTGGCTTTTTGACTTTTTGTTTGTTTGTTTGTTTGGTTACTGGGGATTGAACTCGGGACCTTGTGCTTGTGAGGCAGGTGGCAGCACTGAGCTAAATCCCCGGCCCATTTTGTTTTTTTTTTGAGACAGGGTCTCGCTATGTAGCCCAGGCTGGCCTGGAACTCAAAGTGATCCTCCTGCCTCAGCGTCAACCTCCCGAGTGCTGGGATGGCAGGCGTGCACCACGGCTGGCTCCTTGCACACTTGTGCTTCTGCTCATTACACAGCTCAGAGTGCTCTAGCGGGACCGTGTGCAGCTAGCACGGGCAGCGCCGCTCGTGACGGGGGTACTCACCTTGGCTGGGCCTTGTATGGAGCTGTCACACTAAGTAAAATCTGTGTGTAAGAGAATTGGGAAAGAAATCAGACACCCAAGCTTAAATACCGCGTGGGTTCTCCTATATGAGAAACCCAAAGTTTAAATAAAAGAGCAAAATAAAAGATGATAGTAGGAAATGGGGAGGAGAACCAAGAGATTGAGATGTACATGTGCATGGACCAACTCCCCACGAGGAATGGAGTCACTACGTACTGCAGACAGGGGCTAAGGAAAGTGGGAATTTAGAGAAGATCATATAAGGGCTGGGGATTTAGCTCAGTGGCACCACACCTGCCTCAAAAAAGATCATACAGGCTGGGTATGGTGGGGCACACCTGTCATTCCAACACTCAGGAGGCTGAGGCAGGACGACTGCCGAGAGTTCAAGGCCAGCTTGGGTTCCACAGCGAGACCCTGTCTCAAAAAAAAGGCCTCACTTCTGTGGGGTGATCTATTTGTCCTCTGAGGCTGTCACAAGTTGTCACAGTGGGCTCCTGGGCTTCTGGACTCAGGGAGCCTCCTGGTTGTCACCTTGGAGCCTTCTCTCATTCTCTCAACAACTCAGTCATTGGGTCACACGGTTTGGTTTTTGGAGACAGGGTCTCACTATGCAGTTCAGGCTGGCTTCGAACCCACCGTGCTGCCTTGTCACTGTGGTGGAGGATGACAGCTTCGCAGTCCCTCCAGTGACAGTGAGGACAAGGCCCCAGCAGTGCCCAAGTGTAGGAGATGCAGGTCCTGTCTGTCACTTCAGGAGGCCTTGCGACCTCCACGGGGCTCTCCTGCCCCTGCGTGGGGCCTTTGCAGCCCACATGCCACACTCCACAAACCAGACCTGCCAAGGAGCTCAGGAAGCAGCCTGCCTCAGTTCAGTATCTTAAATAAACCGTTTATTCAGGAGGAACAACTAAGCAATCATGTTGTGGATTACAAAAACAAGCACAGCCCTAATCCAGGTTCAAGGGTGACAAGGGACCACCAGCCTCAGGCTGGGCATGGCTGCAATGCGTGACCCTGTGTCTGCAGTTTGGCTCCTTCCCAACCCACAGCAGCCACGCAAGCCCCAGAGCCATGATCGAGGCCTTCATCCTTCCTCCTCCCTGTCTTTGCCTGGGAGCCCCTCTCCTGGGGTGGTCCCAAAGGGCTCCAGGGGTCCCTTCACAGCTTCTGGGAGAGGAGGACAGACAGTCAGGGCACCAGATGTGTGGCCGGGCACCTGTTCAGTGGCTCCTAGGCCAGAAGCCACCCAGAGAGGCTGTCCCTGTGGATGCCGGACCAACATCAATCTCTGGGCCCAAAATTTCCCAGGAGGCCCAAGCCTAGGTCACACAAGCAGGGAAGGCCTACACTGGTGGCTGCAAAGAGCCCTTCCCCACAAGTTGCTGCAGACCACCAGCCAAGTGCCTGTGGCAGGGGACAGGGAGCCACCCGGGGGGGATCTGTGAAGGTCCCCGAAGGTGGAGCAGAAGGTCAGCAGCTTCATGTATACTGTGGGCTGAGCAGTAGCAGGGACAGCGGCCATCAGTTAAAGAAGGGACAGTTAGGTGAGTCTGCGGCCTGACTCTGGTCTACAGCACAGGGCCTCTGGCCTCTGGCCACTGGGGACTGGGAAAGGACTGGGAGCATGTCCCTGGGGCAGAGGAGGTGGTACAGACAGCCACTTGGAATGGTCCCTCGGCTAGGGAGCTCCCCAAGAGGGGAGTAACAGTCGCAGAAGAGGCAGGTGCTGGAGCGTGAGGGACAGGCCAGTGGCCCCAGCTGGCCCCTAGGCACATTTCATGGGGTTCCCACAGCTGTCCCGAGTGGGCAAGGGGGCTCCGCTGTGCCACCCGCGTGAGGTATTGAGCTCTCCCCCCTCCCGCCCCTCCCCCCCCCCCGTAGCTGCGCCCTCCCCTCCCCCGCCCCCCGTCTGGTGACTGAGCGTCACTGGCTGGGTTGGGTGGGCAGCAGCCTGCGGCCCCGTAAGGCCTTATGTAGGATCCAGCTCGAAGACCCCATCACTGGTGGGAGTGGTGAAGAAGGACGGGGGGTCAGAGGCGGCAGAGCCCTGGCCGCGCATGCGCCGTTCCTCCAGGCGCAGGCTGCTCTCGAAGTCCAGCAGCTGCCCCATGAAGTTGAAATTGGGCGAGATGTTTGACTTCTTCCTCTTCACCAGGTCGTAGGCGTCGTTGAGGGACAGGTGGAGCTTCTGCATGAGGTAGGCCACGGTGACGGTGACAGAGCGGCTGACCCCTGCCAGGCAGTGGACGAGCACCCCGCAGTTCTGGGACAAGGCCTCATCTAGGCAGGGCAGCGTGGGGTTGGTGACCCGAGTGAGGCCACGCCAGCTAGGTGGCCCTGGGAAGGGGAAGGGTCAGGCCAGGCTGGGGTGGTGGCGAGGGGGCATGAATGGGACTCACCGATGAATGTAATGGCCTCCGGAAAGAACTGGGACAGGTTCTGGCTCCAGTGGTCCGAGATGGGGATCTGCTTGTAGTGAAAGTCACCGTTCTTCTCGAAGAGGTTCGGGAGGTTGGGGGTTACATTGAGGATGTAGCGGATGCCCAGCTTGGCCAGGCTCTCCAGGTTGGCCGAATCCTGAGCACTGCCCAGGTAGAGGTTGGGCAGGATCTGGACTGGGAAGGAGGGCAGCAGCCCCATGGGTGGGGGCGTGGTGCCCTCCGAATCCAGGCCACAGCTCATGGAGTCTCGGTCGGCCTCGGCGTCAGCGTCGGAGCAGTCAGAGGCCAGGCACAGGCTGCCCAGCCCCACCACGGGCACTGGGCTGGGCACTGGCACCAGGCTGGAGCCCCCACAACTGCTGAGGCTAGTCTCACACAGGTGGGGGCACTCGGCCTGGAACCGGCTGAAACCACCTGTGGGGGGAGAGGGTCCTGCTGCAGACCACCAGCCGAGTGCCTGTGGCGGGGGGGCCAGGGAGCCACCCGGGGGGATGTGTGAAGGTCCCCGAAGGTGGAGCAGAAGGCCAGCAGCTTCATGTACGCTGTGGGCTGAGCAGTAGCAGGGACAGCGGCCGTCAGTTAAAGAAGGGACAGTTAGGCGAGTCTGCGGCCTGACTCTGGTCTACAGCACAGGGCCTCTGGCCTCGGGCTGCAGCTGGCGGCAGCAAGCCTGGCACTTTCTACATTTCCCTGTCCCCAGTGCAGCCCTAGGAACCTTCCTGGTGAGGACCGACTGACGGAGCTGCATGTGGGAGGGATGGCCCTGTGGGTTGCTGGGAACCTTGAGCCTGTGCTGGGCCCTGGGGAGAGGCTTGTGGGCTCGGCAAGGAGCTGAAAGCCTGTGGCAGCCGCCTTCTCTGACGGCCCGTTTGTCCTTCCTGCTCTTGGCCCCTCGGCCTGCATGGCTTGACCAGGAGTCCTCTGGAGACTGATCTCCCACTGCAGCCGGCCCAACTCTGCCACTACTATGTAGCCCCAGCTGCCTTCAAACTTGCTGGGATCCTCCTGCCTCAGCCTCCTGAGTGCTCGATGCTACTTTGCTCTTGAGCATCCTGTGACCTGCACAGGCCAGCCAGGTTCTGCAGCTTGGGGGTGAAGTGCCTGCCCGAGGTCACACTCCAGCTCCCTCCCCTCAAAGCAGCTGGGCCCGCAACGGGGAGGGAGTGGCACCCACACGTCCACTCTAGCTGCAGAGAGGTGGGGCTCCCAGGGTCAGCCGAGCATGCGCCCCTAGTCCCGCCTGCTGCCCTCACCTACCCTGGAGGTAGTACGCCAGGTAGCCTTCCTCGCGCAGCTTCTGCAGCAGGGTGACCAGCACCGAGTCAGCCTCCCACTCCTCGGCCTCCTCAGCCTCGGCCTCCCCGCGCCGGCGCCGGCCCCCGCCCTGGTCGTACAGCAGCACGGGTGCAGGGGGCGGCGGCTGCAGCGGCGGCCCAGGCAGCAGAGCGCGCACCGACAGGCTCCCCCTCCGCAGGCGGCGCAGCAGCAGCGTGGGCAGCGCCACGCTCAGAGCCCCGCCGATGCGCGCTGATTCGTACAGCTCGCGGCTGCGACAGTCTAGGAGCAGCAGGCGCGGCCTCGGAGGCGCCAGCTCGCGGCGTAGCCAAAGGCACGAGCGGCCCAGGCCCTCCATGAGTGCACGTCGGACGGACGGCAGGCGCTGCGGAGAGAGGGGAGGCGCGACGCGGGTGAGCGTGGGGTGCGCGGGGCTCTGGCCACTCGTGTTCCCCCAGGAGGCGGGCACTCGGGGCCCCGCGGGATCACTGCTTGCGCGCTGCCCACGGGGAGGACACGCGGCGAGGCACCCTAAGAGAAAGTCCTGGGCGCCTGTCCTGCTCCTCCTCCGGGTGGGGAGGCACGGGACTGCCCTTTGGAGGCTCTCACACTGCTGGTGATCGCTCCTTAAGTGCGAGCCTCCGACTTTAGGGGTGTGTGCAGTGAGGGAACGGGGTTCAGGGATGGCGGGTCTGGGGAACAGAGGGGCGCCCAGGTGAGGGGCCGACCTGGCTCCAGTCCTCCCTTGCCCCCAAGCACAAAGGGAGAGACCTGGCTCGAGATCGGGCGGCAGGCGGCCGCGTGTGGACGTCCTGGCCACAGCTACTGCGATGGCAGGGTGCGGGCGCCCTCCCTGGAGGGAGTCCGAGAGGGCCGGAGGGGCTCCCACGTGGAAGTCGAGCCTCGGGCCGTGCGTCTGGCGGCGCGACCCAGTTTCCACCCTGGGTGCCCTGGCCCGACGGGAGTAGCAGCCTCGGGGGGCGGGGCGGGGCGGGGCGGGGCGGGCTCGGGGGCTGGCCAGCCAACGGGCGCAAGCCAGAGGGTCGGGTGGGCCCCTCGAGTGGCCGGGTGAGCTGGAGCTTCACCGAGGCGCGACAGGGTCAGGCCAGAGGCCAAGGGCAGGTTGGGGGCCCAGCAGGGGACCAGTTGCAGCTACTCTGGCCGGAGCCGGCTTGGTCCTTGGTAGGGGGAGGGGATGGGGGACACTAAGGCCCAGTGTCCCTGGTCCAGAAGTGGCTTCTGGCAAGTCACTCAGCCATCCTGGACCATTGCAAGCCCCTGCCGGGACTTTGGCGGCCTCAGCCGAGCCTCTATGGGATGCCATGGAAATGGCACTGACATCCTGAAGGAGAATTAGAAAGCTCCTGCTGCCTTGGGGCCCAGAGCTTTGCCCAAAGCTGGCACAGGGCAGCTCCCAAGCACCCTACCCCAGTCCTGCTTCCTGTGCACAGGCTGGGCTAAGGGGACCCAGCGGTTCTGAGCGGCCTGCCCCACGCTGGGAACTCCGCTCTGTCACACTGTGCCCTTCCTTCCCTCTGCTCCACTGGCCCCCTCCATCCCAGCACTCTCTGCTGCCCCTGTGCTGGCTGTGGGCTCGCATGCCCCCTGTCTTGGCTCACTCACTGGCACAGCCTGAGTGTCTCACCCACCCTCCTCCGTGTCCTGTCCTATGTGACGCCACGTATTCAACAGAGGCTGGTGGCTTCCATGCTGTCCCTGGGCACAGGTGATGGACAGTAGGGGCACATGGGGTCCCCGCTTGTCTGGCACTCCCAGTCCAGCAGGACAGATGGACAATAAGCTAAGACACCAAGCGAGATACTGGGGTGATAAATGCTCAGTCAGACAATGAAAGGAGGAACAGGGGAGGCTTCTAGAAATTCCATCTGGCTATGAGTCCCTTTTTCTGCCCGAAGCCCAACAAAGCAAATAACAGTGTTGAAGGAAAACATATGACAGATAAGATAAAGCTCATACAAAATAATCAAAAGGTTAAGACCCTGCAGATAAAGACTCAGGGATTTAAGAAGAGCACATGCTGCATGAAGGAAGGAATGTTATGGCGTCAAACGTGTTTGCAGGAAGCTTTAGTTCCAGGCATGGCAGGAAATCCAACCCAAGACTGAGATGGAGGGAGGGGAGGAGCGGGGAAGGGGAAGTGAGAAGAATGAAGATGTGTTCTATGCATGTAGCAGCTCCCCACGGGGAACATAATCATCAAGCACTGCAAACCACTAATAAAAATTAAAACTAGGTAACAGCAACAAAGAAGGTAACTTAGCAGAGCACTCTCCAGCCCTCCCAGTGTGAGACTGGCACCCTGTCCTGTGGCTGGGTTCTTACCCTGGTGGCCCTTCTGGAAATGAACCTGGCAGTGTGCACCAAGGTAGATGGAAAAGCCATCCCTGAAGCCACTTCTGGGAACATCGGGAGGACTCAAGGAAAGCAAGTGCATGTATGCATAGGGACGGGATCACAAGAGGAGCTTTCCAGGGGGTGGGAATCGCCAAGCCACCAGAAGTACAGCGCTCGGGATGGCTGCAGGCCACCTGCGTGTCCCAACCCATCCCAACCCGCAGCTACCTGAGACACCTGCAGTGAGGCTAGGGGACGAAGTGCTACAGAGCCACCTCCTTGCTGCCTCCTGAGTCACAGGTAGCAGGTTCACCTTTGGCCGGCATGAAGGGCTCCAGGCACCTGGGCTCTTTCTCCAGGCACTGCCCACCTTGAGCCAGCCAGCTCTGGTGGCCCAAGGGGGACAGCCCGTTCCCTTCCTCAGCACACTCCTAGAAGAGCCGCTCCCGGCCTGGCTCCACAGTGGCAGAGGCAGAGACTGGCTGCCACTTGGTCTCGGGCACCCAGCCCGGGGGCTGTGGCTGCGGGCAGGATGTTGGGGCTGGGCAGGGGTTGTGGCTGGTGGGGAGCCGGAGAGGTGCATCCCACCCACACTGTCGTGGGGGCACGAGTGCCTGGAGAGAGAATCGCTGGCAGGCATGGCGAGGCTGGGTGCCCGCCTGCTCTCTGGAGAGGGCTTCCGGAAAGAAGAGACTGGAGCTGGGCTGGGGATGTGGCTGGGGAGGGAGGCCAGCTCCCCTCCGCGGTGGGGAAGGAAAGGGAAGCCCAGGAGCCTCTAGCCCACGTTGCCTAGAACCTGTGTGGTCCCCTGCATCTGGCTCCCACCGCGTGCCACAAGGCGCGCGGGAGTGAGGGTGAGGGGCACCCAGTCTCCAAAGTCGCTGCTCGGTGCCTGGCGCCTGCGGTGTCCGCAGCGCCAGCAACAGGACAAACGGGAACCTGTTGCCACCTCCGCACTGCAGGCCCCAGTGCCGCCAAGACCCTGCCCCCACCCGGGTCCCCCGCGGCGACCGCGGCGCTCTGGCCCCGCCCCTGGCCACTCCCCGGGCAGGCGGCCACGCGCCCCGGCCTCTCCTGGCCCCCTACGGCGGGCGGAGCCAGGCCGCGCGCTCGCGGATCGCCGCAGGATGGGCGCTGCGCCCACCGCCGTGCCGCCGGGCGCCCAGGCCTCCGCCCCCTGGAAGCCTCCCGGACGACACCGCCTGCAGGCCCCGCGCGCGCCGCGTGCGCTCGGTGGTCCCTGTGCCTCCCGAGAGCGCCCCCTCCAACACCGTTCCTGCCGGGCCGAGTGGCAGCATTTCGGCTGTCACGGCCTGCCCAGTCACATGGCCAGGAGCGCAACTCCCAGCGACAGCGTTCCTGCCAAATCCAGTGTCTTTTCCACCAAATCCACTTTCCGCTGGGGATGGCTCTCTGCTTTTCCGGGTCGGGCTCTTTGCGGGACTGGGGGTTCCTCCAAGGCAGGAACCGGCACGTGCTGACCCCAGCCCCCAGTGCAGGGCCTGGCACGCGCCCGCCCGGAGGTGCTCGCAGAAGAAATGCTCATTAACAGCCAAGACAGGAATGAATGAAACCAATTGTTGCCTGGCGAGCCCAGGACAGTGCCTCTCCTGCTTTTCCCTCCTGCCATCACTCTCTCCTCCCAGACACACACAAGCGCACGTGCATGCACGCCCCCACCCCCACCCTCGGAGACAGGGACACAGACGGTGCGCGAGGGCTCCAGCCCTCTCGGAACCAAAGCACTACGTGCGTGCCCGCAGTGGGTACCCAGGTGGTCCCAGCTGGGCCTCCATTTCACTGCCTGCCTCTCTGTGCCCCCCAAATGGAGCCCCTCGATTCCACATCTAAGTGCCATACCTTGGGCCCTAAGTGCCTCCTTTCTCTTAGGTGAGAGGTCGCCCCCGTCCCTGGGAGTCGCAGGGTCTGTTTGGGGAGGCCCTTGGCGGGCCCCAGGCTGGGAAGCCGCTGTGAAGGACGGCCAAAGGTGCCTAGCAGGGATGCCACCAAACACTGCAGCCTTTGGAGCCTGCGTGCCCGGTGCTGGGGGAGCGGTGGGAGGGACACAGCCACGAGGTTGGGGTGTCCAGGACTACTCTCTCAGGGTGGGGCGGGAGGCTGGGAGCCTTTCAGGGGAGCAGGTGCGCGCATGTTGGGGTGTAGGAGTGCATGCGGGGCTGTGGGGCTGCCTGCCAGCAGATGGGGAGTGTCCGCCGCTGGGGTGTGGGTTTGCTAGGCCCTGGCTCCTGGGGGGCGGGAGGGCTGCAGTGTCTCTGGGCAGATGGGGAGTTGGAGACTGGGGGCACGCGAGGGGAGCCCTGTCAGCGCAGAAATCGCAGGGCTGGCAGCGTGTGCGCGCCTGGGCGTGCACTGGGGCGTGGCTGGGGCCGGGATGGGTGTCGGTGTGAGTTGGGGACAGTGGCGAGGGATATGTACTCCAGCGACCTGGTGCGTGGTTTGCCCACACACGAGTGTGCCGCTGGTGGAAGCAGCAGGGGCTGTGGGAGGTGCACGGCAGGGTGCGGGGATTCGAGGTGGTGGGGCCGAGTGGGTCCGCAAGGGCGCGAGCTTCGGCCCCAGAGGTGTGCGCTGGCAGCACTTTGGGGGTGCAGGGCAGAGGAACGCACGTCGCGGGGCAGCCAGGCCGCGTGGGGGTGGGGTGGGGTCCGGGGCGCCGCGCGCTCAGCTCACCTCCACTGGGCTCAGCTCCCAGCCCCAGCTCCGAGCGTCGCGGCAGGGAAGTTTCCGAAGCTTAGGCGGCGGGAAGCGCCACCGCCACTGCCGAACACCAGCAGAGCCTCAGGCGGCGGCCTCGCCTGGAGCCTAGGGGCCGACACCGCCGCCGCTGCCGAGGGAAACTCCAAATCCCGCCTCCGCCGCCGCCGCCTCCTCCCCTCCCGTCGCGGTCTTCTCCGCCCCCTGCCCAGGAGGGGCAGTGTCGCCGGAGGCGCGGGGAGGGGCCGCGGCCTGGCCGGCGTCGGCCCCTCGCCTTCCTCCCACCTGCCAGCCTCCGGGCCCCGCTCCCTGCGCGCCTGTCCCGGCCCCTGGTGGCGCTGCTGCGGAGTGGGGTGGGGGCACCCCCGACCTAGGCTGAACCTGAGCTAGAACCCATCTTCGTTGCTGCTTGCAGCAAAGGTGAAGGGGTCCACCAAGGACCGGGGACAGCTTGGACACCGGGGCCGCCTCCCGCACCCAGAGCGGAGAGGGTGTAGTGGTCTACGATGCTGCCCCCCCCTCCTGCGCAGTCTCATTGCCCTATGTCAGATTTTAGCTAATAGCAATAGCATGGGAGCCCCAGTGCCTGGAAGGGAGGGGTAGAGCCAGGACACCGTGGGAGGGGCCTGGAGCCCGGGGGGGGGGGGACACTGCGGTTCAGGCCCCAGGGTCTACCTGCTTTTCTCCACACCCGAAGGCACTGGCATCCCTTGGGGGCCTCATTTCCCCTCCCCCCTCTGGAAGACCAAGGACATGCTCTTCCCGGGGGGTACCTGTGGCAGCGGCACTGACTGGGGAGTTGCCCTGACCTTAGGCTGAGTGTGGGCACAGCTCGGGGAC